TCCCACCCGACCGTGACCATGTGACATGTCGTGTTTTCAACTTCTGAGCGGTCTGGGGCACCTGCAGCCTGCAGTGACGGGCTGCAGGTTCGGGTTTCGATTTCTGGAAGAGGCACGGATTTGTCTCTTCTTCATGACATGAGAACCGACTCTAAGGCCAGTCTCCTAATCAATGTGCACCGGTGGTAAGGCTACCGGAGCGTGAAGCTGATCACTCACCTATGCCATTCGTGGCATGACGCGGTGCCAAAGCAGCGGAACTCTTTCACTTTCTCTGAATTTTTTCAGTTTCTTGCGGTGGGGTGAGACTGAGTCCACTATTTGGCCTGTTGTATCAGGCCCAGATGATTAGAACTGGCAGGGGAAACTGAAGTATATGGAGTAAATCTGCCCAAATGTCACTTTGTCTACCACAAATCCCACATGACCTGACCTGGGCTCGATCCCGGCGGCTAACCGCCTGAGCTACGCTATGGCGCTAATTTTTTCTAACGTCCAGTAATGACAACCCACTGTGCATCCTCTCCAGTTGTACCGTCTCATTACAGCAATCTGTCTCAAAGACAAGGGGTCAATTGTGATGGCTACCGAAACCAGGTTTGGAGATAGCGACTTCATTTGTATATGATTAATTAAGCGGTCCCCATAGACGTGTTAATGTAGCGACTAGAGGGCGGGGGGATCAGAATTTGATTCATGGCAGAGGTACAGATTTTTTTTTCTTCCACAGTGCCAAAACTGGCTCTGGGACCATGAAATGGGTAGCAGAGGCTGTTTAATGCAGGGGTAAAACAGCCGGGGCGTGATGCTGGTCACTCGCCTCTGTCTAGTACTGAGTTCAAGAATCTTGGCTTCCCCTTATGTTACGTTGTCTTGGTGACTAAAGTACAGGAACAGTTGTACCTAAATGAACTAAGATTCCCTGGATAGTACAGGGATCCATCTGCTCTGTGGGAGGACAGGACAAACCTAAAGGCCAAAAACTTGATGTTGGTGATGACTGTGGTTATTCATTAACACTAATTTCACAGATACTCACAGGAGCACTGTTAATTTTATGGTGAACAGTATATGACACTTACATGGATAACGTCTTAAGACTCACAGAACAACTAAATGCAGTAACTAATTTTGATTAGAAAACTTTTGAGATGCTGCAGGAGGTAGCAGAAGAAATGTTTACTAAGATACGACATAAAGTGGCAGATTATTAAATTTCAATGGAAAGACTGCAGGGGGAAATGAGTGAAGAAACGTGAACAAAATTGTGAACATCATAAGGTTTTCTGATTATTTTCTTGATATGCCTGTTTTTAGGCTTAAAATAACTGTGCATTTTGCCTAGAGTGTCTTTGTAGTTCTGTATGTTTCTCACAATAAACAGTTATTTCCCTAAAGAGCCCTGATTGGTTGGTCTTATCAATGAAGATGCAGTGCGTTTCCAATGAAGTGAGAACTACATTTTTAAGTATTATTTTGGTGAATTTCAGTATTTCAAATATTTTGTAAAATTAGGATAAGCAAATGAAAAAAACTGAAGCAGTTTATATATTGCTGTATATTTAGGAATATTGATTTTATTTATGGTAAAATTCTTATATATAATTTAATTTATTTTTAATGACATTTGTGTGGGATATTAGGTTATTAAAACACTGCATGTCAGGGAGAGGTCTAGCTGGTCACATTTCCACAGCATGTCAACACTCATTAACATTTTCTTTCTAATTGCAGTGCAGATATCTATACGTCTACTATGATGTTAACATCTGGAGGAAGAATGTACAATTATGGCAGTTTTTATAATAAGAAACAACGATTTTTTCTTTGGATTTATTGAAGTCAAAATCTCAAGACAAATTTTAAATTAATTTCTCTTCCAGTTTTTTGTTAATGAATCAAGTACATTTAGGAAGTTAAAGAGTTATTTTATTTATTGCAGCAAGCGCCTGTACCATGAATGAATACTGGTATATACACTACTTCAGAATGAAAGTTTGTGGCCCAGTAATTCTTTTAACACAACTGTCTTTTGGATGTGACGTATAACCTGCTAGAAGGTTATCAATGTTTAAGTACAACCTGCTAATGGTATCTTATATCCTGAAGATGGAGGCAGTAGTCTCCTCTAAAGCTCTGGTATCTGTTTACCATTGTACTTGTTAATAATTTTGACATAACATCCCCTTAACACATTAAAGGACAGAATAGTTTCACAGTTTTGTCTAGAAAACTTGCCATCCACAGAAGGAAAAGGATATTGTATCAAATCATGATTATCGTGTATTAACATTGTCTATAAAGTACAGAAAGCGTTCACATATCTAAAGGCCTGTAGAGGGCTCTCCTCCTAGGCATTCAGTGCTAGTCACAATTCCAACTTAATGGCAGTGACAAAATCCGTAAATTGGCCAAATTTTGTCATGTTAAAATGCCATAAGTGCAATATTCCTTGAAGGTTTTGCTAAACACTTCACTGAAATGTTGACTAACATGTTCTGGACTCATTTGGGTTTAATGACACAAGGTAAACACACCTTACTTCGTGGTATGACACGCTAAATTAATCATGAAATTAGGCACATGTACCATGGTTAGTTTTAGCATTCTGCAGTAGATGTTTCCATTATGGAGTCATCTTTGGAAAACTGTCAAAAGTAACTGTGAAACACGTGCCTAATTTAGCAGTCAGTTTACAGTGTCACCCCATGAAATAAGGTATGTCATCAACAATTTTTTACCTTGTATTGCTATCCGTGCAACACAACATTTGGAGGAATGGTCTCTACAACAATCAGCAAGAATGAACTGTTATGTAGATGTAATGAGAATAGTTTAAATCTGGTATCTCCGCTCTCCGCGTGAAAGAACATTCTATCTCCTATATGTTCACATTTTGTTACTAGAAATACCTGCTGGTCAAGTGTGTTTCATGTCTATCTGTTTGTGTTTACAATAAGTGAACCACTGAACACTAACAGTTTAATGCTGAATGTAAATGATATGAAATTCCAAATCAAATCTAGAGGTTCAATGCCCATTTCTGCAGTATCGAATCTGAGTAACAGATACTAAGGGTGAAAACAGAGTCATTGATTACCACTCCCTTAATATGAATATTTCTTATGTATTTTAGTATTTTATAACATGAATATGAGAAATATGATCAAATATATAAAACCCTTAACAAGGACACCAGACAATCTTTTATTTTCTAGTGCTTCATTGTTTGTTATAGAGAAATGCGAGATATGAATATACTTATAAAAATTTATTATCTGCATGAACAATCCACTATAGTTGCAAACGGCTCCATTAAGACTCTTTTCTTATTCTGATAATAACCATTTTTCTTTACTGAATATATTTCCCATGGAGTGACGTGCCATATCATTTTTCTTTTCCAATACAATTGAGAGTTTAATTAAAATAAAATTATTATATTATTCACGATGAAATGTTTACATAAATATTGTAGATGGCTTGAGAATTTTACATCCAATTTTGTTTCTGTATTAAATTTGTGTCACAATATGAACATTTGTTTTCTATTTTCCACAGAGGATTTCAGGGTGTAAGAAAGGTTTATGTACAATGACACGGTATCACAGGAATATAACATAACTATATGGATATGTTCATTTCTTTATGGCTACTGTAATGAAGCCCAATAGGCTTTATGGTAAAATTTTAATTGTGTTCCAATGAATGAATGTGTTCTCTAAAGAAATGGTCACATGTAGGCTTTAAAGTGGTGGAAAGGGCTTTTCAGAACTAGATAGAGACTCCTGGATTTGATCATTCATGTGTTGCTTTTGGTAACGATTATTGTGACATCTTAAGGCATGGGAAACAGTTTCATTAAAATGAAACTCTCTGAAACACTGGAGACAGCATCTACTCCTATCTGACCCCATTGCCAGCTTTGAGGCATATTATAACTGAAAGTCACCATTTTGAAAAATATATATCATGAATTAAAACCAGAGAAAACACCTGATTTTCACCTGGGTGTTTCATAAATGAAATAGAACTGAAATAATTAAATTAGTTTCATATTTGTTATGAGTTTTATGAATATATATTCATGGAGAGAAATTTTATATTAACCACCACTGTGATGTCACACAGTGATCACCTTATATATTTTAAATCTGCCAAGCCATGAAATAGTTATGGACTCGTATGATTTCTGAGCAACAATCCCAGTTACTTTTGTCTAGCAACCGAGTGAAACATGGCGACAACTGAAGAACTCTGTAGGCTATAGAATGTAGAAAAGAATAACTTTTAAACTACTCCATGCCACATCCTTATTGACAAAACATCTATGTAAATATATTTGATATACTAACAAGGATTTTTCAGTTTATAGTTGTGAATATTCATGCTGTTAGGCCAACAGTTGACTTAGAAATTCAGCTAAATTTTGGAAATGTCTGGCCACAGTACAAATAGTGTGTAATGTATGAATAAGATCTTCAACAAAGGCCTACATGCATTTCTGCATGGGACTCGGGTGTTAGTCTCTAAAAGTCTGTCGGAGCAAGAAATACGTTGGACAAATACTTATATCACAGACATGACTAAAACACATGTTCTATATCCAATTCACTTTTCCACAAGTGTTACAGTTTTCAAGAGAATTAAATGCGAAAGGGAGCAAATGAATGTGAATTGTTACAAAAGGTTGTGACAATAGCAATATGTCACTTAGTGTTAATGGATTTCTGGATTATGAACATCATCCACTGTTCCGAACAGAGCACAGTGAGTGAGAAACATCTCCCCTCTTTTTTCTTTTGAGCATGGAAACGGATCCACTTTCCAAAATGTGTTCTGTTTGGAATATTGAATGATGCGCAAGTCCAAGAACCAAGTAATCATAAGTAGAACTCTTATGCTATGTACGCATTTCCTACATGTATATTACAGAGTTATTAGCCATGAAGAAATGGCAACATTGTATTTGTTGATCTCGTCTGATATGTTGTTTTCAGGAAAGGAGAGGGCCAACGGAAAGGCATAACAACAACACAGCAACAACATAGAGACCGTCACATGGATACATTTAGGGTACAGCGCGGCGGAGCAATATCGTCTTACCTGAATATGAAAATGAAGAGAATGAGAAGTGAGAAGAACACGGCAACATTGTCCATTGTCCGCAGCATTACGAAGAGTTGACGGCGAAGATTTGGCATGAAACGCACTAACTTGAGGATTCGTAACAGTCGAAATGTTCGTAGGACACTCAGACCAGAGCTCCCTTCCCCATCACCAAGGTAGGTCTGGCACATTTCAATCACACTGCATGATATGGAGAAACAGATGTGTGTAACATCAGATACAGAACAAGGCAACAGATGTTTTAACAGACTTAATATCATTATCAGGATTAAAAAAGTAAAGGTACCCCTGTAACAGGCCGTGGAGGCCCATAGGGTTGTGAGACATCGGGAAGATTCCTGGTACTCATTTGTGTTAGAGGCTGAGTCGACCCCATGGCCATAGTGCGGCTGGAAGGATTAGGTAAATTGAAAAAATTCACCTCTTCGGGATTTGATCCTGCAACCTTCCGGCTTGTACCATAGTGCCTCAACCAACTTCGCTACCGTATGCCCCTTCATTATCAGGATTATGGTACAAAGAAAAAGGGCCATACCATAGCTCAAGCAGTTAATCGCTGGCTTCCCACCGCTGCGACCCACTTTCGATCCCGGGCCGCTACGGTGGGAAGCTAGCGACTAACCCCTTGAGCTATGGCGTGGCCCTTACGAGGGACTTAGTCCCACCCCACTAGCAATAAAAAAAATGGTACAAAAATAAACGAGAATGCGATGCCTCGGAAATGTCTGTACCTTTCTACCAGACTACACGGAATCACATCTCAGAAGGCATTACTCATCATATTCACCATTATGAGAATCTGGTCATACAGCTATTTTGTTCTTAAACCTTATGTTCAGGTAATATTAGTTGCTAACCCCACACTCTAGCAAGCTGGACTCGTGTGCACATGGTCATGTGACTGAATCCTCACTCTTTGAAACTGTGAATATGGGACTGAAGATTTAGGCTGTGGATTTCTGGGTTGTGACATTCTGAAATGTGGTTGGTGGGTCGAAATATTGTGCAGGAGCATACCGTCTGCAACATGTAATGAATGTATAATAGATTATTATTTATGATTACAGTCATTTTTTAATTTCTTTTATTAGTGATTATTGTTATTATATTTTCTTGAGTGAAATTATTACTTAAGTGAGACATTTTCTATATTAAATATGTGCGAAAACATAACCTCAAAGATTCACACTGTTGCCATGATTGCAACAGTTGACTTGCAAGCAATATTTTATACTTAATGTGTAGGAATCTTTATGCAGCATCTTTGTACTAAATTCAACATGCCTAGCACGTGGTCCATTAATTACCGATGTGAAACAAAGCACAAATAACTGCTTACAAAAATTACTTCAACAAATATTGCACATTTTTCGACTATATAATAGCGTACATAATTTCAAGATCCTATAACAAGCGGCACAATATTCATGCCAAGTTTCATGAAAATCAGTCAAGTGCTTCCACAGTTAAAGAGGGAACACACATATATAACATAGTGACCTCGTTAGCTTTTGTTTTTCCTTAATGAAAGTAAGTTAAGAAACTAAAAGTCTGGGGGCAGACAAGAGGAATGAGCTGACTGTACATCAGGCCTGGACACGCTCAGTAGAAAGTCATCCTCTAACCCAATGGCTCTCTGCTGTTAATGGCTGAGCATCTGATTACATATTGCTACATAGCGTGGACTGCCTGCATGCAGGACTTCTCTTTGGAGTTCATTACGCACTGCAGGTATTCAGAAACTCCTCTTACCTGATGGTTAACTATGAAGTATAACTCTCAGGCGCTTCCATGTCAATTCTGTGAAGGTTACATTTATTTGGGAACCTTTCTGTGCTATTTTTATGTACGGAGGAGGAAGAAAGAATTTATTAATGAACTTAACGATGACATTGACAACAATAATAAAATCCTTATAATTTATTTCATTGCTTGTCAACTGGGATGGACTATAATAGGCAGGCACTCAGAATACATAATGAATAAAAAATAAATAAATACAAAATGAGTGATAATTACAATAATAAGACAAAGTGAAACAGTACTTACAACACTGGCATCAACAATTCTAAGTCTGATAAGAAAAGGACTTCATAAATATTCAAAAACATTTAACATATTTTGTTTTTTGCAACATTTTTGCAAAAATGCTGTTAACATATTGGATCGAATGGCTAAAGTGGGGGAAAAATGGTATATTGTAATTGTGACTCCAGTGCTTACCTTAAGACAACAATCACACCATCGAAAACGTTAAACCCGTTGCTAACGTAACAAAATGGACCCTCAGCAATAATCTTGAGCACCATTTCAACTGCAAATATTGCAGAAAACACGATGTTGCTGATTTCCACTATCACAGTAAGTCCTTCCGGCTGGAAAATCGAAGAGGAAAGATTTGTTATACAGTGAAGCATGTTTTCCAACAAAACATCAACATGAAACTGTGCAGTCTGTTGTTAGCCAAGCAGAGTGCTGCTTGCTACATGCTTCTTGCTTGGCTATTCATCTACCCTAAAGTTGAAGATGCCATGTTCCTCTGAAACGTCGATTTGCATTCAGTAGACTATATGGCGTTATATCCCAGAAGAGAGAACTCTTCATAACCATCGCTGGGAGAACATCAGCTCCTACGTAAACTTAAAAATATTTTGTTCTTCATCATCATTAAGAATTCAGATCTTTCAACAAGGTTTGGAGTACAGGGTTTAGACTTTTATATTCTGGGCTGTTGTGACCATATTCTTCAACCCCTCCCTTTCAAATACTCATATCAGATGTAACATTGTTACTGCTGTCTGTGGTTGTGATGGAACTTACCTGGTTATGATACTCGATGCCCATACTGAGCGTGTTGATGAGGATCGCGAGGAGTATTCCTTGCTGGAAGTACTTGTGCTCCACCACAGCCTTGATGACTCGACGGATACCCCTCAGACAGGAGCAACAACAGGAAGATACCCATCTCCAGGGAACTCTGCCATCATGATGCCTGTGGTGCCTCTTGGAGCCTCCACTCCCCTCCAGTATCATGGCCCAGTCTCCACTGCAGGGCTGTTCGTTACAACAGAACTCATGATCTGGGCTGTTGCACCACCGGTGAGGGCCTCCCTGGTCATCTGCCAGGGCGTCCAGACCTAGGAAATACGCAAAATGTTGAATCTGTCCAGGAAGGTCATAGACTGTCACACTTTTCTGTTTTCACGTTTTCATGACAGTCAGGAAAAGGCTGTTCTCATTGGGTGATCATCATTCATGTATTCAGCAGGAATGCTTTTCGCTTCTCTATCCTGAGGGTTTTAGCGGTTTTATCAGTTCCTCCAAGAAAAAGACAGGATTGCACTTTAAACTGGGCCATGAATTTTTTCTTCTAAATCATACCAAATTCGTTATTCGCTGTCATCAAATTATTTGATGCTACATAGTCCGAGTTATTGAATAAATGACAAATAAATATTATTCATATTAAGAGTATAATGATAGGCAGTTCAGTGCCACTTGTCCCGTCTGATCTCCTGTATTCACATTAAGGTATAACTCTCCCTATGCTTAATTAAGCACCATGCCATGAAGATATCGTATATTGGGGAGCTGAAGTATAACTCCATACATTCTTAACTAGTATACTACACTCAGATGGGTGTCAGTTTTACATCCTGGTTGCTTTACACTCAGGAAAAGAGCCCCCCTATACCCACCGGATAGAAGGCCGTGTAAATTCTGCAATGATTAATTTAAAAATATTGATAGCCCCTCCACACACGTTTAAGGAAAGCAGGTGTTCTATATTCTAGTTTGAATTATTTCCATGTAATACAGGACGTTCAATCAAGGAGGAAACTTCGCAATACCGCTGACCGGGCCCAACATTCCTCACAGATTGCTGCTGTAACTGTAACGGCGCGCGTTTATCAGCGCTAATGACTCATTCTGCTATCAGCAGTTACAGCAGCAATCTGTGAGAAATGTTGGGCCGGGTCAGCGGTGTTGCGAAGTTTCCTCCTTAATTGAACGTACTGTACTAACCTGATAGCGGACGTTTAAGAAGAATTTCTTGCTGTAACTTACCACCTTTGCTGAATGATGAAAAGAAGGAGCCAAGCCCAAGCTGGCCAGTGGGCAGTGCTGCACTGAGGGCCCCACTCAGGGCCAGCAGTTCCTGGCAGGTCATGGCTTCAGTGCTCATCATGCTGCCTGTCACCCCACCGCATTCCACTATCTGCAGTTAGACAGGGCACATCTGTAGCCGGTCTCTGACAGGTCTCAGCCTCATCATAATTCATAAGCAGTTCCAGATTGTGTGATCTTCAATGCAAGTGAATAATGAAGAAGTGTACAAGGCAGTGGTTGTGGCCAAACTGAAGGGAATACTCCAGAACTTTTAAGCTTAACTCTATTTATTCAGGTCCATCACACTGCTAAATTATTATAGAATAATTGATAACACCGGCCAAAGTCATTCAGTTTGTAGATATTTATTGCCTCGCCTGACCATCTTCAGAAGGCATACAATCAACAGGTTTAAGAACTAATTTTACAAAGATCATAATATATATTTAGAAAAGATAATGATAAAGTTGCCTCTGTGCTTAACTGATTAAGCCCTACGCCATGGAGGTGTATGGGGAAATGGATGTATAGACCCACGTTTTCTTGACCTTGGCACTAGATGGAGGTGAGCGGTCAGCTTCACGCCACGGCCGCTTTATCCCCGGTGAAAGAGCCCCCTGTACCCATTTGATAGGAGGCTAGGTGGGCCCTAGAACCGGTCTGGATGACATGTAGAAGTGAAAATTCTTGCCCGCACTGGGACTCAAACTCCGACCCCTCGGTCGTTCAGCCAATAGTCAGTCGTTATACAGACTCAGCCATCCCGGTTCTCACGTATTTAGAAGCTATTATGTAAAATTATTTAAGGTTCAAGATCTTGAATAGTAGACATTAATAAGATTTTTAATCTAAATAATTGTAAATGAGTTTTATATAACAGCTTCTAAATATGCGTTATGAGCTTTGTAATAGCAGTTCCTAAACACGCTGAACTGATGCCTCCTGAAGACGGTCACTGCTGACCGAAGCACGTGAGGCAACGAGCATGTACAGATTGAAGCACACTGGATGGCGTTATTAATTAATCTACAATTCCAAAATTTATTTGGAAGTGCTCATAAAAGCTAGACAAGCCTGTCACAACTGGTTGCAGGTTGAATTCGAACCCAGATCCTTCAGAATATGAAGCAGGAGTACTGCCATCTAGAATGTGCTGTTTGATGCCTCACAATTTGTTTTGCAGTCTACATGGTATCACATCTCAGAGAACAGTATTATTTCTTGTAACATTCATTTGTGCCCTTTTGGGTTATGACATTGTGTGGTCTGATAAGAGATTACCATCGCCCGTTGTACAAGTTCTTTCAGACCATACTGTTTCGGCAGCAGATTCCGTTACATTCATCAGGCGGAACGGTGAAGCAGAAAATCCTGTTCTAAAAACGCATGATGGTCTAGTAATAATGTGCACTGAATTGTGTTTTGGCGGTTATTAATAAATGTTTTTCAGGAGCTCTGTTTCATTGGGCCCTTTTTTTTTAATTCGCTTAGTTGGGGGTGGGGTCCAACTGGGCCCACTCGGCACGGCGGCCACTGATTGGCCTATTGTAGCCTGCCCCGGGTGATTATGATGATGGAGAATTTGGTGGAATGAAAACTGGCAGGGGAAACCGAAGTACTCTGAGAAAACCTGCCCCAGCGCCACTTTGTCCACCACAAATCCCACTTGACCAGACCCGGGATCGGGAAGACAGCGACTAACGGCTTGAGCTAGGGCGCGACCTTCATTGGGCCCTTAGGCAGGGGTAGTATGAACATACTAATTACGGAAAATGTCATTTACAGCATTGGGTCCTACACCCCTTCACTCTCTGGCTTCCCTGATGTGAAGACAAATTTTTGAGGCCCCCAGACCTATAAAAATAATTTTGAATATGATTTACGACTATAAAAAATGACTTATTTTAGTAAAGAACCGTAACTAGGCCCACATCTATGAAGCACAATTTCTATATTTTTAAATTTATGTCGCATTTCCTTACAGCTTTTCTTGTATTATAATTAGATATTTTTGGCAGCCTATGGTTGGAAGCTTCATTGCTTTCATTTTGGAAAATGCTGACCTACAGAAGAGAAGTATTGTGTCAGGTGTGTGTGGGGTTCACGTGTTGAGAACCCCCCCCAGTCCACCCTCACACACAGGCTGCGCGTCGGGTGTACCAACCTGTTGCTGGGTTCCTATCTGCTGGCCAGTTCCCGTACTTCCCAATACTGGCCACAGATTGTCGTCTCCAGTCTGGGTCATTTTTTCACTGGAACACACATTTCTCGTTGTCTCCCCACTGCTGGCGCCCCCCCCTCCGTGGAACAGCACAACGTCACTGAACATGACGCTGCTTGGCCTTCTCTGCTGATTGCTGTTCCCAGTTGCACTCAGCAGGTTCTGACTGCTTACCTGGAAACAGGTCACAGCGCCCTTCTGTGCAAACATGGCCATGAACACACAGTGGAAGAAGTCTGGCGGCTTTCCTCATTTTTGTTTCACAAAACTGCAAGACTTATGGAAAAATATACAGCGCATGAAACTTGTCTTCTGTTTATCTCTACTTCTGTTGAGATGCAGAACCTGAATATTCGTTACAGTGTTGCAAGGGTCAGTCACTGGACACTGTGCATGACTGCAGCCAACATCCTCACATCTTACATCTTTAAATTGTACTTTAATATTATCCTTCCATTCATGCCTAGGTCTTCCAAGTATAGTCTCTTTCCTTCATATTTTCTGAATAACACTGTACGAGTATGCAGTTCCCACATTCCCACATATGTCCAGCCCATAATATTTTGTGAAGAGCATAAATCATGAACTCCTGATTATTATGTTATGCCTAAGTATAGGGGCACTGACCTCACTTCCGCTTGCCGGGTCTCCCAGTCCGTTGGACGAGGATGGAACTCGAAGAAGTCTGCCTGTAAGTCTCTTAGGGCTCGCAGTGGGGTCTATATCAGTGACCTCTGGGCTTGCTCTTGGGGCACCCGTTGGGCCACTTCCTCCATTATTGGCTGTGTCATTTGTGACTGTTGTTATTATGGTCGGAAGAGGTCCTTCTGGGTATGAAGTCATGACTGCAGTCGAAGAAGCCACGTCTCTGGTAGGATTTGGTGCATGACAGCCATGGTGATTGTGGTGATGATGGTGCAGATGATGATGGTGATGATGTAGGTGGCCATGGACAACACCTAAAATGTACCAGCATATCTATTGGCCGTCCAATGCAGTAGGACTTGATGGTCGGTTGGGTTGGACATGAGATCTCAAACATAATAATAATTATTCTTGCTACACAGAATTCACCTGCCATACACAAAATTTCCTAGCATTCTGAGCACATGCTTGTTATTAATGTTGCACCAAAATCACATTTGCGCTAGCAGGACTCAAACCAAAGGTTACATTTTCTGAGATATAGCACTGTCTGTTCTGATACGAGGCAATCTACATTTCAGAGGAACAAGTTGCATCCATCTTCAAGCCCTCTCTGTAACTACGGCTGTGTTAACTTCAAATCATAGGGAACTAAAACTGTTTTATATAATATTATTAAAAAAGTAAAGCTATCCCTGTAACAGGCCGTGGAGGCCCATAGGGTTGTGAGATGTTGAGGTTCCCACATTTTCTAGACAATCGGCTCAAAGATGGCGGCAAGGTTGTCAGCCTTACGCGCCGGCCGCCCTTTATCCCCAAGAATATTCCTGGTACTCATTTCTGTTAGAGGCTGAGTCGATCCCAGGACCATAGTGCGGCTGGAAGGATTATGTCAATTGAAAAAAATCCAATGAACTCATCGGGAATTGAACCCGCGACCTTCCGGCTTGTAGCATAATGCCTGAACCAACTACGCTACCGCGTGCCCCTTTAATAAACACAACGCTGAAGAATGCATTCACGGGCGCAGTTCTGCGACGTTTCCTAGCAAATATGCCGAGTACATTCAGAATAAACAGGGTGTTATAATGGAGGAAAAAGTGCAACACTGATCTGTTGAAACGGAAGTAGAGACCATTGAGTGGGCTAATAGGTCATTGAATGTATTAAGGTATTTTGTGTTTATGGCTGGCTGTTTAATGTAATGACCGACATAGGATTAGGGGATTATGGAGTGGCAGATTGGTTGTTATGTGTATGCAGATATATGCAGATAGGAGGTGGCTGCAGGGCCGACAGCAGATGGAGTCCGCATGCAAATGCAAGGGAACCGAGAGGGATCCAGTGACTACAAATGGCTCCAGGGTAATCAAATCAAGGAGGGTGAAATGTCGCACGCAGAAGGGAGGTGAAGACTGCAAACGGTATTATGGTAACAAAATGTGAATGGACAAATCGTCTTAATAGATCTAGTTACAGATGGGAGGAAAATATTAAGTTAAAAACGTAAAGTTGCTGTTCTTAAATACACGTACCATGCCATGAAGCCGTATAGGGAATAAAAGTTCGAGCAGATTCAGTACATTACATGATCTCACCCTGAAGATGGAAGCAGAATATTCCTGCAAAACGTCGATATCCGCCTGTAAGACTAAATGGTTTCATAACACAGAAGAACCACGATTGAACAGTCACCACAGAGAAAATTGTTAAGTTGGTACAAGTTGAATTTACCGCTACCGTTGCTTCCGTTGGTACCCCTGTACTGGTGGAGCGTGATGGCGCCCATCACTGGGGTAGTGGCCCCATCTCCTGCCTGTTTCTGTTCTCTCAGCTGCTGTCTCCTGTACTTGTATAAGCGGTACTTCTTAAGCAGTCGCCTCTTGCTCCGCCTCCAAAGGTGAGCCACGTATCTGAAACAAGGGACCGCACGTCTCAGAATAAACCCACGGCCGAGACGTGATGAAGCAGTCCACATATTCACCACTGCGATCGCATTGGTAGAATTTCTGTTCATAATTGGGGGGGGGTCCTGGTTTGAACATCGGCTACACATCGACTATTCTGATAGAGATCTCTCTTGTTTTTCCTCAGCCCTTCCAAGCAGATGCCACAATATAATTTATATTGTAACAACCGCTTCCTTTCATATCCTTTCCAATTCATCAATCTTTAATCGTCTTACCACTCGAGTCGGGGGGTACGCGGTAGCGTAGTTGGTTCAGGCACTATGCTACAAGCCGAAAGGTCACGGTTTCGATTCCTGATCAGGTAATTGGACTTTTCAATTGACCTAATCCTTCCAGCCGCACTATGGCCCTGGGGTAGACTCAGTCTCTAACAGAAATGAGTACCAGGAATCTTCCTGGGGGGTAAAGGGCGGCAGGCGCGTACGGCTGACAACCTCACTACCATCTGTGAACCGACTGTCTAGAAAATGTGTGAGCCTCGACGTCTCACAACCCTATGGGCCTCCACGGCTTGTTACAGGGATAGCTTTACTGTTTTACCACTCGAGTCATAGTTACGGTCGCGTCAAATAAATGTAAATTCATTTCGATAGCTGTAACTACTCTTTGAGAAATTAATTTACAGCAGTATGTTTCTCTTTGGAGCTATAGCAACGGGCTGAACACGCGACACCCTCTATCCGCTAAAGTTGGCACTAACTTCGCCGACAAGCGGCGGTCACTGGGTCGGTATAGTTCGCTTGCGGACTACAGACCACGGAGTTTGTTTTGTTTGTTTTGCTGTAGCAACGGAAAGTTAAAAAATGTGCCTACTGACCTCGTTTGTCTGTTCGTCTGTCAGTCGACGAGTCGCTGAACGGAATTTTATGACGTACAATAGGCATATCTTCTGGGGCGTAACGAAGTCAACCGACGTTTCGAAGTAGTTTACTGACTACATTCTCAGGGTTGAAGGGTAAACCAAACGGTGCTCAGTTTGTCGCTTGTGTGGCTTGCACTTCAACTCCTAACGCGGAGCAGCAGGTTTCTCTGAAACGTCTGTGAACATTTACCGGACTGCCCGCCGGAAACTCAAAGCCAACATCTTGATCTACCGCTGAAGGTGTCTGTTTATCGCCGCTTATCCACGCACTGACATTACGCTAAATTGTTGGCTGTCCAGAGAAGTGCGCCCTAAGCCACAGGTGCACAAGACGCGGTACGGAATTGAATTTAGCGCTCCGTAGCGAGGTTATGTTCTCACGGTGAGGATGCAGAGGCTCTATTGCCTGTTACTTTGGGCCTGAAACAGGTGGCGTGAGGTGGAAGCAATTTAAAGTATTGCCTTAACAAGACCCATGGACGGCCTTCAATAAATTAGATTTCGCTGTTTATCTAGCCAGCTCTGTTGTGCTGACTGCATGTCCGATTTGAAGGCGCAATACACTCTTGTACGCTTAACGGTAATGATAAGGGGACGTGCAGAGCAGGTTGACGTAGCGGCAGGCGCTTGGTTCGAATCTCGGCACGAACAGCCGTTATGACTGAGGCACCTCGAGTTTTCCTCAGTCCGTCCGCGTAAATGGTGGCTCATAACTTCTACTACTCCACAATCATTTCCTACCAAATCCCTTCCATGTCGTCAATCATCAGTCATATTGTAGCATATAGACGCGTTGCTAAGTAAAGACTATAAAAACGTCCGATGCTAGGTAACAACCACGGAATAAGCAAATATACGTAGCCGTTACTGAGTAACGGCTTCGGACGACAAGTGGACTGCACTTATAAGCAGGTGTTATAAGCAGGAAAGGTATAGATTTTAGTTAGTTGAGTTGGAGTCAGTCAGAAGATGGCTGCCAGCCTGGGAGTTAGTGCAGCGCAGGGAAGTGAAGAGTTGGTTGGTGAGTTAGTGAGTTAGTCAGAGGGCTGCAGTTCAGTCGCTGTTAGAATCTGGTAGCTGATGAACGGGGATAGTTCGGGAACCCAGAGTAAGAGAAACGTCCTCCGTTGAAAGCCGTTATCAGGCAACGACTGGTGAAGACGCGGCTGACAGAAGAATCGGTACGTGCTGCAGTGAACTGCAGTGTGTGAAGTAGAGATATCGCTATAGTTACTTGTAGTTACGGTCTGTCAGTGTTCAATAAATCCAGTTAGCAATCCAATCCCTGTCTGCAGTCATTCCTATCACGTGACAGTTATACACTGTCTAGACACAGCGTCGTAAAACAAGACGCAAGAAGAGCAATATAATAACAAGAAGTTCTGTGAAGAGTTAATCGCCTACTTTCCTTTAATACGATACAGATAGCACAGAAAACGAACTTTTTTTGGGGGGGGCAACACAGACAGCAATATGATTTCATAAGCCTCTCTTCATTTTATTCAAAATAAGGAAAGTAGGCTAAAAACAAGCTTAATGCTATGTTACGTTACTTAATTATGGCTTGTAGTATTTGGGTGGTTATGAAGACTTCTGCCTTCTGGCACATGACGCCATTTTAGTCCGTTGAAAGTCAGCCGACGTTTCGGAGGAGTATGTCGTATCTATCTTCAGGATTGAAGACTACCATGAAGCAGGCAACAAGCAGCATTCTGATGGAGGTTCAGCGGACTATGCGAATTTATATTCCAGAAGGCAGAAATTTACGGTTCATTTCACTCCAGCTGTCAGTGGGCACGTCACGGGCTAACAGTGGGATGAATGTTAATAATGAATCGGAAAGGAGGTGGAAAGAAGCGGTCGTGGACTAATTTGAAGTCACTATCACGGAATTTAGTCGGAAAGGTACAAGGAAACCACAAAAGAAACCCATTAAGTTAAGAGAACCCGTATCTGGGCCTCCCGAGCACGAAACAGGCGCGCTACACACCCAACTGCGACATTCTGTAGGCATTTACATGCCTTGCACTAATACAGAGTTTCATGAAAATCCACTTAAAATTCTGAATGACTTTGTGATGGAAAAGTTTGATGGTCCACTGGGCGCCGTGTTTCGCTGTGTTCCCCTAATGAAGTACAAGTTACATTGATTACCAGTGGTAGTCGTGTGTGCATGAAATCGAACTGTTGGGGCCATGCACGCACATACATACACATACACATACATTTAATGTAGATGACAGGATGCTTTTCATTAGAAAGCTGAAAACAGATCGACCCGTCCCTACCTTCACACTCATTACAAACCCATCAAACCTGCAGGATAATTAGAACTACTTGCTGGGAAAATGTGTAGAATTATAGGGCCAAAACTGAAGTGCCATAAAGGTAAAATTAATCCTGTGCTTAATTAATAAAGCTCCACGCCGCGAAGACGTATGGCGGAGTGGAGGTATAGCTCCACCATTATTGAGAGGTTGGGTGAGCTCCAGAGCAGGTCTGGACGCTGTGGAGTACAGAAAAATTTCTTTCCTCTGCCGGCAATCGAACCTACGCCTTCCAGCTCGTCGATACCTCGACTGAGGTGTCCAGGCTCTGACCTAAACGCCGTGTCTATTTCCGTCCTGTAAGACTATATTCAGTCTAATGTTTACAGCTTATCATTTGTGTAACAGCAGTCTTAAATATTCGCCCACTTTTAGCCCAGCTGCCTTCAGTAAGGATCGCCATGCTGTCTGTCCCTCCGCGNGAGGGACAGACAGACCTGCTCGTATTATAATACGAGAAACGCCATCTAAATGTCTACGAAAATATTCTCAGCGTGTTCTTCCCACACGTTGGCTCAACTTGTATTCGAATGATGCCTGGTTCGAATCCCGGCCGGTATACTGACTATCGTTGTTTCCCTGTCCCTCCAAGGTTGTGTCCAGTGAAGGCAGCAGAGCTGCCAAACTGTTGTAGGATCTGAGATTAGGGAAAGTATCGTCATATGGGATATATCGCCGAGTAGTCGGTTGAAAGTCAACAGACGTTTCGGAGGAGCACATCGCCTACATCGGTTGACCTTCAACGGACTGCATGGCTTTATATCCCAGAACATTAGAACTCTTCACACACTTCTCTTTAAAATATTTTAATATATCACAGTCAGAGTTACTTCACGGCTGGAGGTTTACCGCCAATCAGTTCATCCTGGCGTCAAGCCCCTTGAGATTCACGACCATTTTTTTTTCCATAGTCATAGTCCTTATGTAACATTCTCTCTAACGAGAGGATGGAGCTGTCGTTTTCAATTGCTGCTGGTCCTCGTCAGTGCAGTCATTCTCAGGTCCGAGTCCCGCGGGACTCACGACCACATTTACTGTCTCAGATTTGAGGCTTCCCTTTTCGTCGCCTCCTACGACTCGCAGGGTCACGGTGGAGGCACGACCTCGCCTCCACACAGACAATTACCTCCAAAATATTAAGATTTATGGAAACAGTATGTCGAGCATAGAACAACTTTTTTCCGAAACATTGGGGTAAGGCTGACAACCTCACCGCCACCTGTGAGCGGATTGTCTAGACTATGTGGGAGCCCATCGTACTGTCTTTACTTCCCATTATGCTCTCTGACAACCTGCCTACATACATACACAACCCAATGTCGGGAGCAGAGTGACTGAGCCACTGTACTGCGTTTCAGTTAGGAGCGTGCGCAGTGAAATGTAATGGGAGCAGCTGCTTGAGCCTACGGGTCCTGCTATAAACTGGAAAACCTGTCACGTAGAAAGAAAAGTTACGGGTGCTGAGGATGAATATAGATATGAAGACGGAGGCAAATTCTAATAATAATGTAGCGTGTAGAGCCGTTTCTAGGCAACGGCTCGGTAAACACGTTCCCTCTGCAACGGATAAGCATGCAATGTTAGAGGTACTGTTGCAAACGGTGTTTTCTACTAGGTCCGTGAAGAATGGTTATAAGGAGGACAGTTGAAGCCAGAATTCTTAAACCGTGTTGAGGCGAGGTCGAATACCTCCACCGTGACCTTGCGAGTTTTAGGAGGCGATGAAAAGGGAGTCTCAAATCTGAGACAGTAAAATGTGGTCATGAGTCCCGCGGGACTCGGACCCGAAAAAGACTCCGCTGGCGAGGACCAGTAGCATATACAAAACACAGACCCGTCCTCTTGTCAGAGAGGACGCCCACAAAAAAACTGTAAAACTGATAAATATCTGGTCATGAGCCCCAGATGGGGCTCGACACCAAGACTTACTGACTGGCTGACCATCAGTCGCAACGTGACTTTGACTTTGAAGAAGTCATAATTGGAACGGAGCCGCCGTTCAGGGAGGGCTTGAGGCAGGAAGCAGAGGAATAGTCATTGTTAGAAGCTGTTACCGGGCAACTACTAGTGAAGATACTACGGGCTGCGTGTTGGAATGATTGGTAAAGTGTGGAGTTACGAGTTGTATGTTCAAATGGTCAATAAATCCAATATCCATTCCAAGTCTTTCGCGTGATAATAATTTTACTTACTTAACAATTTCTGCGTAACAAGATGTGGGCTCAGAGTTGTTGGTAGATGACGCTAGGGTGCTCGTCGAGCGAAAACGTTCTCGCTCCAAACGCATGCGTTCCATTTCTCGTTTCTTGGTCTCTGAGAACTGTGTAGCTATGACGACCAGGCACAGGTTGATCATGAAGAAGGAGCCGATCTGCGGACAATGGAGAAGCAAAGTGAGTGGAGTCACCCAGGCTTGGCACTAGGACGCGCCGCCGTGTAGCTTGGTAAATGCGGAACGTGCTTCCCCCATTGCCAGAGTAGAAGAGCAAACCGCCACCTTCACGGTACAAAACATTTTCTGTGACACTGCATCGTATGTTGAAGTTCTCGAAGGGTTTCTGCCCTGAAGATGGAGGCAGTTTGTTCTTCATTAACGTCGATGAATATAACATTATATGGCGTCACATCCCAGAAAGTAGCAGTCCTCAGAAAAATCCTTGACAGGATAATATTAAAATGTATCTGAAAAAACAGGGTATGATGGTGTGGGCACCAAACGCTTAGAAATCCTTAGAAATTTATTGATCGAAATATCACAACACGCTTTATGTGAATACTTAAAAAAATTAGATATAGGTAAACTTGTCCCTATGCTTAACTAATTAAACACTAGGGCATGAATACATATGGGGGAGTGGATGTAGAGATCCATATATTCTCATCCTCGGCATTAGTTGGAGGTGAGTGGTTAGCTTCACGCCACGGCAGCTTTACCCCCGGCGAAAGAGTGGGTGGGTGGGCCCGAGAACCTGTGTGGACGTGGAGAGGAGAAAAATCTTACCCCTATTGGGACTCGAACTCCAGCTCTTCGGTCGTCCAGTCCGTAGCCATTCGCCATACCGACTGCGCTATCCCAGCTCCACATTAACAAAATTATATTTTAAAAATTTCGCGGTTAAGCAAAAACTTTTTTCAAGAGCAGGGACACGTCCTTCGTGTGTGTGTGTGTGTGTGTGTGTGTGTGAGACACTCCTTTCGAACTGTCCGTTTGTGTGTGACAGTGAGTGAGTGGGCCTCCCTTACACTGGAGCACAAAGACGTTTCTTATTCCGATACAAAAGTCAATACGCTCTACCGCAATTGACTATCGGCAAACCTGTCATCTCTTTTCTTCGCGCATCGGCTGCCAGGTGCCCCTCACTGACATCCTGTCATCTCTACTGACATCCTCCTGTCCGTCTGCCAACACGTTCCACCTCTGGTTCATTATCCATTAGTCTTATTAGTTCTACGTCACCAGGAGGAAAAGCATGTAAATTGTGGTTAATTAATTTAAGGTACGCTAAGGCCGCGCCATAGCTCAGGCGGTTAGTCGCTGGCTTCCCACCGCGGCGGCCAGGGTTCGAGCCGGGTCTGGTCAAGTGGGGATTAGTGGTGGACAAAGTGGCGCTGGGGTAGGTTTTCTCCGAGTACTTCGGTTTCCTCTGCCAATCTTCATTCCACCAAATTCTCCATCATCATAATCACCCGGGGCAGGTACAGTAGGCCAATCAGTGGCCGCCGTGCCGAGTGGACCCAGTTGGNNNNCCCCCCCCCCCCAGTATTACTTATGGAGCTGAGCCCTTCTTGAGGAGAAGACAAATCTGCAGCTACTCAAGAATTACCCCGCATTTTGTGCAACCCGAAGGTTCATTACCGTGTTCACAAGAGCCCTCCCACTGGCCCATATCCTGAGCCAGATCAATCGAATCCATACCATCCCATCCTATCTAAGATCCATTTTAATATTGTCCACTCACCTAGGCCTTGGTCTTCCCAGTAGTCTCTTTCCTTCTGGCTTTCCCACTAGTATCCTGTATACATTCCTCGTCTCCCCCCTTCGTGCTACATGCCTTGCCCATCTCATCCTCCTTGACTTGATCATTCTAATTATACTTGGAGAAGAGTACAAGTTATGAAGCTCCTCATTATGGAGTTTTCTCCAACCTCCTGTCACTTCATCCCTCTTCGGTCCAAATATTCTCCTCAGCACCCTGTTCTCAAACACTCTCAGTCTATGTTCCTCCCTTAATGTCAGAGACCAAGTTTCACACCCATACAGAACCACAGGCAAAATTATAGTTTTGTATGTTTATGTTTTGGGACAGCAGCCGAGAAGACCAAAGGTTCTGGACTGAATGCTAGCAAGCATTACCCGAGTTCAATCGCCTCTTAATTTCCTCCTCCACCCCCCCTCCACTATGCGAATTAAGAAAAATTAAGATCACGCTATCGAGTGTTGCTGTAGCCTTGTATCTGAGAAGTTCTTGGTTCGAATCTCGGTCCTGACACCGGCGATCATGACCGATGTTTTTTATTGTTTTCTTCAGTCGCTTTACATTCCGAAACAGCATCTCGAATAGGCCACGACTGTTCCTTTCAAATTCCAAATTCAGCATCCGCTAATCATCGCGTCCCGTAGATTCTCCGATATTGACAGCGTTGTGAAGTAAATCGCAGAAGAAAGATTACGGTTTTACGGGACAGCTCGCAGTTTCGGCAGAACCAGCTGCCTCCATGCAAAATGGGCATGTCCCAGACTATAAGGAGACAATTCTCGGAACTCCAAAAATTAAAAAAAGGTTCTGTCTTCTGGGATATAACTTCGCCTAGTCCGTTGAATATAAATCGACGTTTCGGAGGAACACGACATTTTCAACTTCAGGCTTGAAGGATATGCCAAGAAAGAAGCAAGCGTGAAACATGTAGCAAGCCGTTTTCTTGCTTGGTTTATTCTTCGACCCTGAAGACGGAGGCGACACGTTTCTCCGAAACATCGGGTTGATCTTCAGCGGACTATAAACCACCATTATAAGAACCTGAAATCATATACGATTATAAATTTGTTAATAACATGAAGCAATTTAAGCCAAATTTGTCACGTTAATCCGCTCCCAGTCCTCAGAGCCTCTTTGCACTATCTTACCATCTAATTTAGGTCTTGCAAGTGATCTGTTCTTTCAAGTTTTTCTAACCAAAATTTCTTTGTACATTTTAAGCATTTCAGGTTTCCAAAAAAATGCGACCGTTCAGATTTTTGTGTTTTGGACAGTAACACTCTACAGTGTTGCAAATGGATACCAAAGTTTCGGACGAATATGCTGCCTCTTTCTTCAGGTTGTATCATAGTTACTGTCGAGGGGGGCAAGACAGACATCTGTGCCCACCTGGGGATTTGAAGAAAACTAAAAGAAGGAATTATAGCAGATATTAATAGCAAAAAGTAAAAACGGACGGATCTTGAGGGTCATGTCACATGTGATGTTTATGTTTGAATCCAGGGATCCATTTTAGGGGCTCGGTCCTTCTCCCTTCTTGGAAATCATTATGATGGCGCACGCGTGACGCGAATTTCTCATATCCCAATGAAGACTACATGTACCGGCTAACCTAGGAGCCGGGATAGCGACTAGCTAGGGGTAGGAGTTCGAGTCCCGGTGGGGTTAAGAATTTTCTTTGGGGCTCCTTCTTCAGGATAAAGTGACCGTGACGTGAAGCTGGCCACTCACCTCCAGCTAGTGCCGAGATCAAGAAAATGTGGATCTATACATCCACTCCCCCATACGCTTTCATGGCGTAGTGTTTACTTAGTTAAGCATAGAGACAACTTTACCTTTTATCTCCTAACTTATCCTTGATTTGTTCAGTGTAATAAGATTTCGTGAATATTAGAAAGGCAGAGCTGCGCACGAGCAGGGCGCACTTACCACAATGAGAAGAACAAAGTATATCCAGTCCCAGAAGGAATGCGCGTCCTGGACATAGTACATGATATCTGTCCAGCCTTCCAGGCTGATGACCTGCAACAGACATGTCACAATTAAGCGTATATTCACTTACATATTGCCACGCTTGAGGCGCGTGACCACTCGGAACTACATGTAATCACAGCACCCTCTAAGCCTCTTTCCACTCTGCTGTGTCTTCAGCCGTTCCCTAGCAACAGCTCATAACAGTGGATTCTTCAGCATCATATGTTCATGTTCTTTCTTCACAGCCTCTTGCAACTTTCTCTACATAAACTAAACCGAAAAAATAGCGTTACATGTTAATATTATATTATTATTTTATGAGGACAGATCAGGATTGACCAAACTTGTTCAATATCAGAGCCGCATTTGACAACTTTCGGAAGTCCTGGAGCCGCAAACAGGCATAGATTGGATGGCGCAATTGTTTAGGTACACTTTAGAAATGCAGATCATTTCTTATATTTAATCCACTGTAAGAAGGGATTGACTAATGCTTCTCTCGTACTAACGGTTCAAAGAGAAACCTATGGCTCTCCAGCCACAGTTTGGCCACCCCTGACACATATCTTATATTGTAAACACATTATGGGGAGGGAGGAGCACCGAATTATTTATTGCTGCAGTAATATATTTTTCAGCTTGACGCTATGAAATAACATTTACACTTACTGCATGGAAGAATTATGCACCATTTACTGCGGGAATGTGGGCACGCTCTCGTCAAGTCAGTGACGTAGATGTTTGCGTCATATAGTTACTATATTTGTGTGACATGCAGACCTGTTGCCAAGTAACAGCTGTGTAACAGACGACAGTACAACAGCAATTACTAGGGAACGGGTCTGTGGACATGTTTTCCCAGTAACTGGAGAACATGAAATGATGAAAGAGGCGTTTTCTGTGCTGTCCGCGCCGGAACTATATAACAAGGACTTGAAGGCAGACATAGAAAATATAAGAGGCCAAGCATATTCATAAGGGGCAAGCACACCTTCTTGTCAGAGATGATGTTACACAGAGCTCAGGACCGCAAGGGTTCAGTTACAAGAAAAAAAAAATGTGGTCGTGAACCTCAAAGAGCTTGGCGCCAAGACTGACTGGTGGTAAACCGCCAGTCTAAAGTAACTTTGCTCTCTAGTGGTCGGTTGAGCGAGTCGTAGGAGGCGACGAAGAGGGAACCCAGTGCCTGGGGGTATAAGAGGCCCACCCTGTTCCTGGGGGACATAAATAAGGGGACTTGGTCCTCCAGGCTGGGGGAGTCTCGAATCTGAAACAGTAAAATATCGTCATGAGTCCGGAAGGACTCGGACCCGACAGTGACTGCGCTGGCGAGGACCAGCAGCAATTGTAAACGACGGACTCGTCCTCTCATCAGAGAGGGGGACCTATATCAACATACCCGCAACTGTCTGACAGTTATAAAAATCTGGTCTTGAGCTCAATGGGGGGCTTCACACCAAGACAGACTGACCTACTGACCGCCGGTCATAACATAACTTCTGTTTCGACGTTGAATGGTAGGTTGAGCGAGTTGAGAGTTGCAGTTGTGAGAAGTGAGTAGCTGATAACAGGCTGGGAACAGTTCGGGAACCCAGAGGAAGTGGAACTTCCGCCGTTGAAGCCGCTACCAAGCAACGGCTAGTGTCGCCTGAGAAGACTTTACGTGTGCTGTAGTTACGGTGATATATGGAGTGTGTAACTCGGACTGTTTGTAGCCACGAGTTGAATGGCTGTCCAGCAAATCCGATTGCCAATTCAAACCTCGTCTATAGTGTCTATAGTCACTCCATCACGTGACATAATTGTAGCATACATCTGCTATTCTTACGTCAGTGGGAAATTCAAATTCCTTACACAAGAGCTTTCTTCCGTAAGTTTGCGAATACAAGGCATGATACGTACGAGTATATTCCGATTTGAGGGAAGGGCATGGCACTTTCCCTTGTTTGTGTTTAATTCTGTTGAAAACAGCATGACTTGTGGCAAAACGTGTACTGGACTTAAAATATATCTTTCACTTTTATTTGCCTCGCTTCTTCGAAATATTTTCCGCTCCTATAAACATTTAGCGAGTTAACTCTCCAGATGCGCGCAGAAACACGTGCAGGTCTTCGTGTGAACTGTCCGTTATTGTTGTCCGATTTAGAATAAAAGTTGAATATGTTGATAAAATTTCCGGTCTAGAAAACCGAGATTAACGGCCGTGGGGATCCGTTGCGCTGACCACGTGAAATTATCAGCAAAAGATGGCACTAACTTCGCCGACAAGCGGCGGTCCCTCGGTCGGTATTGTTCGCTTGTGGACTACAGGCCATGGAGTTTGTTTGTTTTTGTTATGTTGATAAATTTTAGTGAAAGTCGCTTCGATGTCTTATTTCATGTACAAGTATGTTAGGTTGTTTTCGAGTTGTTACAAGCTTACGGACAGAAGTTCGGACACGGCGAAAAATACAAATTTACCCTTGCAAGTTTTTTGTGTTGCGAATATGCCCGAAATCCTTATAGCCACTTCATAAACGATAATAATAACCGCCACTACTCATCTCCTGCCGAACAAAAGCACAACGCAGTCGCTTCATGTTGACACAATAACAATGCCAATTATTGCCAATTTTCCTGTATCCATAGCAAACTGTGTAAAGTGCATTACAGTTACACTGAAATCCGCGCGGTGGTTGTCACAGCTGTCATCACGGCCAGACCGATATATCATCATCTCCGTGCTACACTGCTTTATGTCCATACCCATCAAGTTTTCGGAAAACTGGGCAGCTTAAACGCGACTTTGAACCGAAACACACCGCCCAGTCTCACATTTGCAGTTCAAGTAAACCCGGCGAACTGTGCGGAGAACACGGAGAATCGGAAATGTACGTCATCTCATTACCGCCCCCAGAAGCGGGGGCAGAACGTTCGCAATGTGCGTCTGTATGAATGGGGGGCGGGGGGGGAGAACAGGAATGCTAACACCACGCCTGCCTTAATTAGGCAACTCTGTAGCCAGTTCTGACTGCTGCAGACAGTCGGCTCACAGAGGGCTGTGAGGTTGTCAGCCTTACGCGTCGACCTATCCCTGTGACGGACCTTGGAGGCCCATTGAGTTGTGAGACGTCCAGGCCGCAAAATTTTCTAGACGCTCTGCTCATAGATGGCAGTGAGGTTGTCAGCCTTACGCTCCAAGCTATCCCAAAACAGGCCGTGAAGGCCCATCGGGTTGTGAGACGTCGAGGCTGCAACATTTTCTAGTCACTCGGCTTACAGATGGCAGTGAGGTTGTCAGCCTTACGCGCCAAGCTGTTCCTGTAACAGGCCGTCAAGGCCCATTGGGTTGTGAAATGTCGAGGCTGCAAAATTTTCTAGACACTCGGCTCAAAAATGGCGGTGAGGTTGTCAGTCTTACGCTTCAAGCTATCCCCGTAACAGACCGTGAAGGCCCATTGGGTTGTGAGACGTCGAGGCTCCCACATTTTCTAGACACTCGGCTCACAGATGGCGGTGAGTTTGTCAGCCTTATGCGCCGGCCGCACTTTATCCCCCAGGAAGATTCCTGGCACTCATTTCTCTTAGAGGCTGAGTCGACCCCAGGGATATAATGCGGCTGGAAGGATTAGGTCAATTGAAAAAAAAAACAATGACGTCACCGCGATTCGAACCCGCCACCTTCTGGCTTGTAGCACAGTTCATTAGAGAGGAGTAATATTTATTGCTACTGTTTTGTCAGGAGGAAAGCAAATACAACGTTATCATAATTTTTAACCATAAATATTCCGAAGCGCCCCCCCCGCTCCCTCCCCCTTCTAGGTACACGCTTCTGCCCCCTTGGTGTACTCTTCCTGCACGGTTTGTCTCCAGCAGTACCATGTAACATACTCTGGGACATAAGCTTTGATCATGTTCGCTTCATATTTTAATTCCCTATGTTTACTTTCATCTCTTTAATAAATAAATTCTCTTTGACTGTTTTAATGAACTGGGTCTGACTGCGTACAGAGGGGGGCAGAGAATGAACTCTGTCAAACCAAAGGAGACAATTCTACTGTAAAGTTGATATGTCTTTTTTTGTGAACGTAGAACCTTACGAACTCCTTTAAATTCTGCGAAGAATGATAGAATATCGCTTCAGGTGCGTTTGTAACCTTGCAGTCTACTAAATCCACTCCTTCTGTCCTTCCCTCTGTACATACGAAACAACACGATAATCGTGGAATGGATTTTAATGAAATTTGATACTGCTGAATTTTAACAAGATTATCAACGTACTCCAATTTTGGTTAAAATCGAAGAACGGCAACGGAGGCTTCACATCAATAACTGCACACGTTTCTCTGCTTGTGCCAAGCGTAACTCGCTAAATACATACCGGAACGAACGTTGTGGGGAAAATTTGTCGAGAAAAAGAGCACATTCTGTATGTCGAGACTGTTAAGCAGGAATGCTATCCTGCACATACGACTCGTCATTAAAGCGTTCAGAAATAAAAAAATGGCTTTCCGAATACACGTGAATATTACCATAATAATTAAAATAAGCATTCTGCGTAGCATGCATGTAAATTTTATTAAAATATAATTTTATATAAGGGCATATATACCTTTATAGGCTTATATGAATTAGCAATTAATGTTCTTATGTGAAAGAATTTTTGAGCGTTATGTTTATTTAAGTGACACGCGGTAGCGTAGTTGGTTGAAGCACTATGCTACAAGCCGGAAGGTCGCTGGTTCGGGTCCCGATGAGGTGGATTTTTTAAATTTACCTAATCCTTCCAGCCGCACTATGGCCCTAAAGTCGACGCAGCCTCCAACAGAAATGAGTACCAGGAATCTTCCTGCGGGTAAAGGGCAGCCGGCGCGCAAGGCTGAAAACCTCACCGCCATCTGTGAGCCGATTGTCTAAAGAAAATGTGAGAGCCTCGACGGGCCTTCACGGCCTGTTACAGGGATAGCTTTACCTTTTTACCTTTTATGTTTATTTATGTACGCTTAGTGATGGGCTCCTGTGCATATGAGTATTACGTTTCTGTTTTATAAAACGTGGGGAAATTTCCTGAATTTCTAAATATCGCGGGCTTCACGCGGCAGATGGATGGTTGGAGAAACACTTCATACCTGTTTATAATTTATGCGGCCTTGCGCTAGGGACCAGAGAGTGATTATGTACTGTAAATCTTCCAGAATCTATATGCGTCCGAGAATTTATTTTACTTCGGGTATGTGTGGTTGTTGAGTTGGCTGGTCTCCCATTAACAAAGAGTATCGGTTATACAGGGTGTTAACTGAAAGCTGCGGGCAGACTTCGGGCCCGAGTTCCACGTATCAGAACAAGAAGAAACCTCCATATCAACATGTGTCCGGAACACATTGCATTTGCGAGTTATAACCCAAAGAGTACATTTACAAAATGTCCGCCACGAGATTCAGTGCACGCCTCGACACATCTGAACATGGACCGCCGCATCCACACAAAGATGGCGGGGCAGTTGCGGACAGTCTGACAGGCATCGTGAAGTGTTTGCATACACAGGGATACTACCGGGAAAACTACATCAGTTTGGGTTTGAGTTTGTCACGGTGGAGGCTAAACTGTCTGGAATGTCATTACCTGTAGTTCGGTAGAAGCTTACCGACGTTTCGGATGAACGTAATGCATCCATCTGCAAGTTCGGCAGACCAAGTTAATCTTCCTGCTCTGATTCCCTTTAAGCGCATTTTCAGGCCATGTACTTCTCGTTCTGCTTTCTTGGCTCATTCTTCGACCCTGATGATGGAGGCGGTGACCTTAATATAATATAATATTGTAGCATGTGCAGCTGTTGCTATGCAACGACCTCGAGATGGGCGGATATACTAGGACCGTTTCTAGGCAATGACTCGGTAAACACGTTCCCGGAGCAACTGACACGAACGCAACAATAGGAGAGCTGTTTACTATGTGGTCCGTGCCGAGATGTTACAAGCAAGGGACAAGGTCAGAGTCCGTCGGTTCATAGTAAACAGCCAGTTCTCTACGGGAGCCTGTGGAGAGAGGACTTGAGTCCGGAGGCAGAGGAATAGCCACTGTTGGAGCCGTTATCAGGAAACGTCTAGTAACAGATTGAGAACACTAGACTATGTGCTTTAGTGAACTGTAAAAGGTGGAAATAGCGATAGTTATTTGTAGTTACGACCTGTAAGTGGCCAATAAATCTATTCACCAATCCATACCCCGTCTATAGTCACACATACTACGTGACAATATAATATAATAAATTGATGGCATGTTGTTCGAATTGGTTGATGTGGCAGTAACGCTTTAGGCCTGTATACGGAAGTACTTGATTCGAATCCATGCCGGAACACCGTCTGTACCAAGGTTTTCACGCAGACATGCTGAGATAGCTCCCGGATTGTACCACGCCCTCCTCCTTCCTAGTCCTTTCCAACTAACTTTTCCTCAACCACGTCACTTTTCGACGTCATAGGCAATGACAGCGCCGTGAAATTTCAACGGGCTGTATGCTTAAGTATTGTAATCCTCGCGTCTCCAGTTCTCTCTGAGTCTAAATAAGACATAAAAGTTTGTGACGATGGTACAGTTTTTTTTATTGCTAGTGGGGTGGGACTAAGTCCCTTGTTCTGCGGCCACTTCTGGCCTATTGTACCAGCCCCAAATGATAGGTGAGGGTGATTGTAGAGCAATTGGTGGAATGAAGATTGGCAGGGGAAACCGAAGTACTCGGAGAAAACCTGCCCCAGCGCCACTTTGTCCACCACAAATCCCACTTGACCAGACCCGGGATCGAAACCGGGCCGTCGTGGTGGGAAGCCAGCGACTAACCGCTTGAGCTATGGCGCGGCCTCAACGATGGTACATTAGTACAAGTATTATGTTTTTGGACATTATCCATCGTTTTGTCTTCATCTAAAAACACCGTTCTGTTTATTTTTCAAAATACAACATTTCGGAGACTGGATTCTGTCTCCGTCTTCACGTTGGGCCCAATCGCTTGAGCTAGCGTGTATGCCCCATCTTGGTGTTGGTACAGCTGTCCGGAGACAGGGACTAGCTCTATCGATTGGGCCCAACTGAGTAGGTTCCACCGAAATGTCGTGTTTTGAAAAATAAACAGAACGGTGTTTTTACATGAAGACAAAACGATGGATAGTGTAGAAAACATAGTAGTTGTCTGATTCTAGTTCTGATGCTAAGAGATTTCTCATACTGTACGCATTACGCGCGTGTCGAAGAAGTTGCCATACACGCAAGGGGCCAAACAGTTTTAAGATGGCACGGAAACTTGAGGTTTGCAAAAAGTGTTCCTCTGGCAAATATGTATGGTGGAGACGGTTATGCAAATATTATTGTTTCTAGATGAGTCTAGGACTGCAATTCGGAACAGTTTATATTAAATTACACGAACGAAATCTTAACTTCTTAATTTGAACCATCTGTAATACTGGCAGGGCAAGGAACCGTGTCCCACGTGGACGTGTATATTCCTTACGAGGTGAACACTAACCGATCGAGCAGAAGATGCCTGTTACGGGAAGGTGAGGGGAAATGAGGAATACATGTAGGGAATTTGAGGGAAAGCCAGAGACAAAGAGACCACTAGGAAGACCTAGACGTAGGTGGCATGTAGACCAGTTGCTAGGTAACTACCGGGAAAGAAGCACCCAGACAACGGCCGTTACTAGGCAACAGCATGGTAGCGTATATAACTGATAGAAAGCGAGTTTGAAGGAAGAAGTCGTGGCCTATTGAGGTACTCTCCCGGTAGGGACTACAGGACAGTCGGTATGTCAGGCGAGATGTGAACCGAGTACCTCCCTTACGGCTTCACTAGGGTCTTGAGAGGAAATGAAAGAAGAAGGTTCAGAGTCTACTTACAAGAAAGATGGCTACCCAGGCGAGGCCGATGTTGTCGAATGAGATTGTTCCCTGGAAAGGGTTGTAGGGCGAGGGCTTGCACTCCGTGTAGTACTGGTTCCAGTCGACACAGGTTCGCTCCGTCGGCGCGTTCGTCGAGCCAGCGATGGCGCTCTCGTTACAGACGAGATCGCCGACCTTATAGTTAGGCAAGTTGCTGCACTGGTGCATGCCGTTGTCTTCAGGTTTCGAGCATATGTAGTCCCTGTCTTGCTCCATGTACGTGTAGTAGGACGCCAGCGGCCTGCAAGCAGAGCACACGCCTGAGATTACAGCGCCCCTTCCTGCCCCGTGGAATGGGTTGCTTCATGCTGACAGCATTGCACTTATGGCGCTACTGAGCAGAGGCGGGAAACCAGCATGCAGGTTATCTAGGGCCTGAGCAGTGCTCACTAGTCTGGATGCTTATGAACGAGTTTGTTCATCAACATTTGTGAATATCTGTAGACAAGGACCCTTCCCCCCAAATTCTGATACCATGATGGAGTGGCATAATTTGGAAACGGAATTTGGGGTCTTCAAAAGCAATGAATGTAAATTTTATTAATGTAAATCTACAGGACCACACGGTATAGCTCAGTAGGTATAGTGACTGACTTGACTCAGGGGAAAGAGATTTTTTTCTTCTCCATAGTGTTCAGCCATCCGGCCTCCTATTGAATGGGGGCCATTGTCTGTTTCCCCGGGGATGAAGCGGCCGGGACGTGAAGCTGACCATTCATTTCTCTCTAGTGCCGAGCTCAAGAATGCTGGAGCTATACCTTCTCTCCTCCATACGTCCTCATGGCGTAGTGATTAATTAATTCAGCATAAGGAAAAAAACAAAATTCACTCCGTGTTCTTACCAATATGTACGGTAGCCACGGCTGTTAAAGCGATATGCAAGTGTTGTAGTAGAGTTTTTGGGGGCGATTCGAACCCTCGGTGCAGTATTTTTAAAGTACATTAGTAAAATTTAATTTATTTTTTTCAGTGTTCTTTCTGATATACAGGTAAAATTGTATCTATTATATGCCGCGATATTTAAGAACGGGAAGCAACCATACCCCGGACGGAGAACGAGTATTTATGCTTGGTTTTAATTAAAGCTCCTTGTTATTTCCCTTGGGAACGTTATTGATAATTCCAAGCGAATTGCCCTCGCATACAACACGTTCTCACGGATACGGACTGACGGTGCCGGCGCGTCGCGTTGGTCAGAAGCTAATTCAAAGAAATAACTTGTTAATTACACCCCTTTTTATGTCGCAGTTACCGAATGGAAAATTGAACTTGTTTAATGACATGAAATTACCTGGGACATATCGAAACGGGTCTCGTAATCTCAGGGCGTCTGAATTGACGAAAGTAAAATGTTACTAGAATTCTGATAAGGATAGGAGGATGAGATGGGCAGGGCATGTAGCACGAATGGAGAGAAGAGAAATGCATATAGGATATTGGTGGGAAAGCCGGAAGGAAAGAGACCACTGGGACGACCAAGATGTAGGTGGGTGGACGAAATTAAATGGATCTTAGAGAGATAGGTTGGGATAGTATGGATTGGATTGAACTGGCTCAGGATAGGAACCAATGGAGGGTTCTTATGAACACGGTAATAAACCTTTGGGTTCGATAAATGCTGGGAATTTCTTGAGTAGCTTCAGATTTAGCGGCTTCTCAAGAAGGGCTCAGCTCCATAAGTGAGTGAGTGATTCTGATAAAGAGGGCGCAGAGTGTGTAAGTATTATGGAGGCAGAGAGATAATTAACCGGTATGAAGTTTCCGCGGTAGCGTAGTTGGTTGAGGCACTATGTTACAAGCCGGGATGTGGTGGGTTCGAGTCCCTATGAGGTGGATTTTTTCAATTGACCTAACTATTCCAGCCGTACTATGGCCCTGGGGTCGACTCAGCCTCTAACAGAAATGAGTACCAGGAATCTTCCTGGGGGTAAAGGGCTGCCGGCGCGTATAGCTGAAAGCCTTACCGCCATCTGTGGGCCGATTGTCTAGAAAATGTGGGAGCCCCAACGTCTCACAACCCTATGGGCCTTCACGGCCTGGTACAGGGATAGCTTTACCTTTATGAAGTTTCTGTAGAGGAAATCTGGCACAAGAATGGCACATCCTCTCAATGATTATGTTACAGACAATGTGGAAGTAACAGGTATCAAGAGAGAAAGCAACTTCCTTGCGTCTTATTACTTCATGGTTACTTTGCGACGCTGCAAACTGATGAATGGTGAATTTGAAAGGATTTGGAAGGGAGCTGTCATGGCCTAATCGAGGTACTGGTCCGGAATTTTTCTGGAGAATCTGAGAAATATCACGAAATAATCACGGTAGCCGCTATACGGACCGAATTTCGAACCCAATACCCGCCGAAGGCGAGTCTTGAGCGTTACTTTCACGTGATAGAGTAGCTATAGACGGGGTTTGGGTTAGTAATCAGATATCGGATACTCAAAACATAACTCATGACTACACTTTACAAATCACACGCAGAATATAGAGTTCTCAGTCACGGTCTTCACTGCGTTACTTGGTAACGGCTTCCAATAGTGGGCGTTCCTCTGCTCCCGGGCTCACATCCTCGCAGGCTGGCGGCCATCTCACAGAAACCTCCTACTGTTCTAATTGCCGTCTCAAGACTCTCGCAAAGTCAAAGCCGCATTGCGACTGACGGTCAGTCACTCAGTAAATCTTGGTGTCGAGCCCCGTCTGGGGCTCATGATCAGATATTTATTACTGTTTAATAGTTACAGTCTTGTTTGTGTGGGGCGCCCTCCCTGATGAGAGGACGGATCTGTCTTCTGTAAAAGCTGCTGGCCCTTGCCAGTGCATTCTTTCTCGGGTCCGAGTCCCTTGGGACTCACGACCACATTTTACTGTCTCAGATTTGAAACTTCCCTTTTCGTCGCCTCGTACGACTCGCAGGGTCACGGTGGAGGTATTCGACCCCGCCTCCACACGCGTTTTTCTCGTAATGGCAGCTGGTCCTCCTTATATAGCCTCGGCACAGACCGCACAGGAAACACCGCTTCCAACAGCCCTTCTGTCTATTGCGGCAATCACGTGACGGCTCCTGAGTCATCTCCTAGCAACAGGCGTGTTTCTAGAGCCGTTACCTGGCAACGGCTGTCTCCGCTGGCTTCACAATTCTGGTTTCCAGCATATGTGGCACAATATTAACACGCACAACATTAACTTGGACCCTGCATGTACCTCCGAAATATCTTCAACACTGCCCTCATCTAAACAGTGCAAATGTCCAGGAAAGGTCAAATTACTTCACATGTAGACCTGTACGAGGTGAGAGTGGCAGGCCTGTTCCTACGGACCCACGTGACGCACTGTAAGCAGCTACCCCCCAGCGTCATATGTCCTTGTCACACTGTTTGCTTGTTTGGGCTCCTCAGGGCATGTCATTTTATACAACTTCTACACTGCTGTCTCTGAAGCATGCTTGTGGAGACTGGGTGAACATGATCGATACTACCCCTCTCCCCTCACCCCTCGCTCTTGAATTCCCATATCTGCAAGCCCCCTGTGTTCCATTGTTTGATTCCGACACACTATGGTCTCCATATTTCCTTTCCATTAATCTCAGTCAGCTGTTCTACGGTTGGTACAACTGTTTCTTTCCCCCGCTCTATGTGGGATCAACGCATCTGAAAGCCACCGTCAGACTGGTTGTTTTCAAATCTTACAATTTCAGCGAAGAAGGGCATTCGTTTGGAGCCGTAATGACAAGAGTCACTGTTCGGTCCTAGGGGCAGTGACCTCCTCGTGTTGAAGCACCACAGAGTGATACTTCTGGGGGCAGCTGTGTTTCTTGTGACGTGAGGTTCTCACAGCAGGTAATGTCAAGTTTACTGCGACACGAGGCCGTCGGAGTCAGAATTACTTGACGACGGGCGGTTTACCGTCAATTAGTTTGTCCTGACGCCGTGTAGTTTCGTAGATAGGTTCCCGTATCTTCGAGGTCTGTTTCCTTTCATTTATGTAACTTCCTTTTTCATTTTGTAACCTCATCTGTAACCTCTTTTTTTTCATCTTCCTCTTCCTCTCGTAGAGAAAACAGACCATTTCAGGGCTTCCAGTTCCAATTTGTTCGCTCATAGCTCTGTTCAGGTCTTCCTCTGTATTACCTGTCGTCTGCCCCGAAGATTGAGGCGATACATTCATTCGAAACAATGGTATACACTTGGCAAACTTCGCTGAACCGTAAGTTTCATGGGCACAGTATAAGAGTGTGGGGGCCGCCTGCATTTGCTTGGAGATATGCTGTCACGTGAGCTACAGAGTGGCCCAAACGCAAGTTAACCTTAAACATACTCTCGTATTTAGGGACATGCTTAGATTTGTAGAACGGTATCACAGTCTTGCGATTTGTGCACTGAACCGGGGGGGGGATCTCATTTGTAACAATCCTTGTAGATTCAATAAGTAAAAAAGCTAATTTTAACTATTCTAGTTTACATTTTACTAACCAGTTAACTGATTTTCTGACCTCCTTGTATTTATCTGTCTTGTTTTATTTAAAGACGCTGACAATGTGTCTGATTATACACCATCGAACGTTAGTGAATAATGAAGTGGTAAGGATGTGGAAGGAAATGATTTTATCCCATTTTGAGGTACTACAAGGCATTTTACTGGAAGGTCTGAGGAGATCAAAGAAAAATCTTATGGAAATTGGCATTGAGGCAGGGTTTTCAACCCGGCACCTTCTAAGCAGGAAGCATAAATGCTGATCACTCCACCAGAACTTCTGAGTCCCTGTCATTACACTAGGCTAGGTGCATTTGCAGTGCTTATGACGATATCACAGACATATCATTAGAACATGCTGCAAGCCACAGTGAATATAACGACATTAATTAAAATGTATGCAGATCTTCAGACGTTTCATCCATTTGTTCGCTTTCTGTAACAGAATATTATTGCTTTATGACACTTATACACAGAAAGAAAGAAAAAATCAAGTACATCAGCCTTTCAACTTGATCGGTGATCAAAGAGCCTTTTAAAATTTTTATAAATATTTGAAAAGCCGATATGAAACTTTATATTAGACAGGTTCCTGGCAGTGCGTTGCTATTACATTCAAGTAACATTACTCATTAAACACAGACAATGCAACATCACACAAAGGGTTCGTCTCTTGTAGACGCACACTAAGCATCATCGCAGGTTATGTATTTTTTTTGATGTTCTGTAGAAAGCCACCCTCAAAAGAAAGCGCATTCAAGAATGGAACTT